TCTTCCGACGTGTGGCGTCAGCTCTGCCCGGGATGGAGAACGTCCAGGAGAAGAGCAAAGAAGGGAGTATCCTTTCCCGTGTGGGTCAGAGTTCTCGCGGCGCCGAGCGCTGTGTTAGAGCAGCTGAGCGCCCGTCTGGTCTCTGTCACAGCCTCCCTGGGCGTCGCGCATGGCCTGGGCCTCCTCTGAGCGGGAACGAGACGCCGGTCTGTGAGTGCCCGGCCAGCTCTAATCGTCTAAGCCGCTTCTTCCAAAACAGCACGGGGACAGTTAGAGGGCGGTGTGGGCGGGAGAGGCGACGGCTCTGTCCCCCCTCCCTGAGCTCCCACGTTTCCCACACAGTCAGACCGTCCATGGCGGCCCATTTCGGTCTCCTCTCCTGCAGACGCGCCCCTGCAGCTGCCCCATTCTGGTCTCACCTGGACCCTGTGCCCAGACAGCAGTCCACGTCACTCCCCACTGCTCTACGGACCGTGGACCTGCCCCACTCGGAGTCCGACTCCAACTTGGGGGGACACCTGCCACTGAAGTTGAGGCTCAGAGAGGCCATCTGCTGTGCCCAGAGTTGCACAGCATGAGTCAGGGAGGAGGGTTGCATGGAGGCTGGCTTCCACTTCCAGCCCTGTTCCTTTGTGGGACACTGTCCCCGAAGGGCACTTGAGAGGGTCAGCTGAGAACCGTTTTGGTAGGTGAGGACAATGCCTAGACTGGCCTTCCTTGCCCCTGGTCAGATCCCCTGCCCGAGTCAGGCCTCAGAGACTGGCCTCATATCCCAGCATCCTCTCCTCTCCCCTACAGACCTCAGAGGCCAGGCACCGGTGACCGATCAGAGAAGTGCCCCGGAGAGGCCGAAGGGCACCTTAGACTGATGAGGTCAAAGCAGCAGACGAGGCTAGCTCAGCTCAGTGTGGGAAGCCAGAGGAGGCCGTGTCGTGGCTGTGCACATCCCGCCCTCTGCCTGATGCAGGCTGGAACCAGGGTGGGCCGGGGTCAGCTGGCAGGGACCGTAGGGGAAGCAGGGACCAGCCTTCTTTCCTCCCGGAGTTCTCCCCACCTGCACCGGGTGCTCAGGGAGGCTTTCTAGGACAGGTGTCCAGCACCCCCGTGGCCTGCGTGTGACCCGGGTAAACAGTGGCCGAGAGGAGCGGGTCTGAAGAACGTCTCCTGTTTGGTCCATTATGAGGCTCCGATCACGAATGAGGACCCCGAGGCTCAGGGGCTCGGCAAGAGCTCCCACACGTTCCGGAGCAGAGCTGCTCCAGACCTCAGGAGAGAGCCCCTTGGTGTCACTGTCGCGTGAAGCTGTGAGGTTCCAGGAAGGCACAGAAGTCAACCTGCAGGGCAAAGTTGAGAGCAGAACCCAAGGAGGAAGAGGGACCCCGTGCCTGCCGGCGAGGAGGGCCACACGGGCTGCTCTGGACCCTGCTAGCCCTGACGGGGTTGCAGACAGGCCAGGTGAGTGGGAGTCATTTAGTTCACATTTTCCCAGAGCCCCGCCAGGGGCTCCATGAGAAGCCCACGGTGCGATCAGTTGGGGCTCCAAGTCCGGGGACAGCTCCCACGTCGTCCTCCCGGCACGCCTGCTGTCACCCAGCGGCGTAAGGGAGAGCACGGGGCAGGGAGCAAGGAGGCCTCGCCGGGCGGTGTGCTCTGTGTCCCAGACCTAACCGGGGCCCGGTTACGGGTGCCCTCACGTTGCCCAGGAGCCAGGTGGCTGGGCCTTCTGCAGGGCAGGGCCTGGGACCCCAGGAGGGCTCAGGCGAGGGAGGTGCCACTCCGGTTCGCTCTGGTCCAGCTGGCTGGCGCACTGGCATCCCGTTTTCTGAAGGTTCAGACCCGGTGTGAAGGGCGCGTGCTCCGGGTCCTGGCTGCTGCGCGCCCCTGAAGGTTGGCCACAGGGCGCCCCTTGTGGCCACTCCCTCCCGGCCGTGCTCCCTCGGCTCAGGGCGTGGGGAGTGTGTGGGCTTGGGGTTCTTCCAGGCCCAGATGGGGGGCTGCGGCACCCCTTCTTCACACCCCACACACGAGGCCTTTCTCTGCCAACCCACTGCCCCAGCCCCATGCATCCTCTGCTCTGTCAGTGATTGGGTGGGGGCGCCAAGAGGCCACACAAAGGAAGAGCCTCGGCCCACACTGCGTCTGCGTGCACCAGGCCCCCTGTTCCTGTTCCGCTCTGCTTTCTGCCCAAACCCGGTATGCCTCGGTCACGGGGCCCTGGGTGCTCTCCGGCCAAGGCTGGCGCACGCAAAGGAGCAGCCGCAACTGGGACTTCCCGGAGTGATTCTACACTGCTGAGGACAGTGGCGCCCCGGA